ATACACATACTAGAATACTTAGTAGACCATCGATAATACACACATACTAGAATACTTAGTAGACCATCGATAATATACACATACTAGAATACTTAGTAGACCATCGATAATACACACATACTAGAATACCTAGTAGACCATCGATAATACACACATACTAGAATACTTAGTAGACCATCGATAATACACACATACTAGAATACTTAGTAGACCATCGATAATACACACATACTAGAATACTTAGTACATCAATAATATACACATACTAGAATATCTGGTAAACCATCAATAATATACACATACTAGAATATCTGGTAAACCATCAATAATATACACATACTAGAATACTAGTAAACCATCAATAATATACACGACCATCGATAATACACAGATACTATAATACCTAGTAAACCATCAATAATATACACATACTAGAATACGTAGTAGATTATCAATAATATACACATACTAGAATACCTAGTAGATTATCAATAATATACACATACTAGAAATGTGGTGTAACAGAAGATGCTTTCGTTTATTCACACTGAATTACTCAATAGAGCTACGAGTTATTAATTTTCTTAAAAGAATGTTCAACCCTCATTGGTCGAAAAATGCGAGACACTAACTTTGGGGGGGGGGGGAACTTGGATTACAATCCTAATTAACCCTGCTGCAAAGTTGATCTCAGGTATTACCTGAAGACAAGGTGACCTCAGACACCCTGGTTATGTTTTCTGTAATCAAAGTTAAAAATAAGTTAATGAATTATCCTACAAAATAGTAAAGTAATAAAACATATATTTAGATTGCTTCAGAGGGAAGTTTTGCCATTGTTTTAAGTCTCACGTGAAGTAGCAGAGTAAATAAACTGGAAACAACTCAACAATCAACTACGACGAGGTACGGTTTACAACAAATCAATAAGTAAATGTATACGTATTAATGGTGCTCTTTATTCATGATACGCTAAAAGTAATGTAAAATTTGTCGCGTGTAAAGATGCAATTCAGAAAATATGGTTATCTAGTCATAGTTTAACCTATAACATATTGTGCAATATCGAATGTAACTTGAAACAAAAGTAGTTACTAATTTAGTTAACAGTTTTCTTTATATTTTTCTACCTATTAGTGTTAGTGGGAAGAGCGCTATGGATCTGAGTTTCACAAGCTCGCGTTACGCCAAAACAACAACAACCCGCGCTCTTCATTTTGTGATTGTGCCCGGCATGGCCAGGTGGATAAGGCGCTCGACT